AGATGGCGCAACGCTGCGCGCTCCAGCGTACGAAATACAGGAGGATTCAATGCGTTAAAACAAATCTCAAGTGCGACAAACCCTTAGGTTTGATCGAACGCATAAGTACGGTAACAGCACCAAGGTTAGTCTTTTTTTTTGGTAATCGCACTCGAGTCGGTGTCGTCAGCTTTTTTTCAATATCGGGCTCGCTTCTTCAAATCGCACCTCCTCCCCCGGCGGGCGAGCGGGCAGCTCGACGTGGCGAGCACAGCGTGCGGCGCAGAGGGGCCACGCTCCGACGCCGCCGCCGATCCAGTGCGCGCGGGTCGCCGACGTGAGCGGCCGTGGCTCGCCTCTGCGACGAGTCGGCTCGTAAGGCGCCGATGCCGTGCGCCCCTCGCCCGGCACTGCGCACGGGCCCCCGAGCCGAGCCAGAGCTGAGCCTCTCGCGCGCGCGCGTCGGGGGTCGCAGCCAGCCCCAGGCTCCCGCGCCTGGGCTCTCTTCTCCTGCGGAAGACAGCGGGGCTCATTCTGGGCACTGTCGAGCAGTCTGCCCAGCGGATGCCTGGATGTTGCGCGTACGGCATTCTGTTTGGCCTGGCCTAGTCCCGAGTTGGCATCTGATTCTAGAGCAAATGCCTGGCCGAGTGAGCGCTCGAACAAGGAAGCCGGAACCCAGAGACGTAAGTATCTTTCGCTGGGAGTAGATTTTCGAGGCGCGCGTCGAACGCTCTCATCTCCGGAGCCATTCGGAATCGAGCCTTGGGCCAGTTTCAAGCCGCTTGGACTCGAGCTGGGCAGCTTCCACATCAGTGGCCCTCGCGGTCGAGTCCGTATCAGCGGCCCCCTCCAGGCACGTTTCAATTTGACCGATTCGATTCCATTCGATATAAATTTCGGCCATGTCGATCCAATTCGACTCCGATCAGACGCGGCCCGATGCCTGCACGGCGCCGATGTGCACCGTGGGCGCGGTTGCTCCGATTTGATCCGGCTCCGTGCCGATGCTGCCCGACCCGACGCACGTTCCGACCCGATCCGATCTCCCGATCCGATGCGGAGCGGCAACGTCAAGGGGGAGCCCGGCTCGGGGGGGAAGGCCGGCGCACGGGCCCGAGAGCCCAGCGCGCCTCGCCGCCCCGAGGGCGAGAGAGGAAGAACAAGACTTTAAAATGCGGACTGGGATGCCATCCGGGCCAGTGGCGGAATCTTTCTTCAAATGGCTCAAGACAAAGCTCGCGTGCCGGACTCGCACGGAAAATAATGAAGTCTGCTCCACAGGTGCTCTGCAAAGTTGCTGAAGACTTATTGGCAGCCCTGGGTGTCCTCTGCCCGGTCGCCTCGTCGTTCGTCCCTCCCCCCTGCCGTGCTCGTATCCTCGTCGTCGTCGTTCTCCGAACCTTGCTGTGCGGGAGCGGCCTCTTCGACCGAGCATGGGGTGCGAGGGCTCTGGCGTCGCCCGTTCCTCGCCGAATGGGGGCCCGGCAGCCCCTCCCGCCCGGGAGCGTGCGGGTTCGCTTTGCTGTCGATCTGTCGGCGACGTATCGCCCACTCCAGGTCGATGCTTTCCCCCCCTGAGCCGGTCCCCTGGTGGTGTTTTTCGGGAGGGCAACAAACACACAGACACAATTAATCGTCGATTCCCCAGAAAATATGGGAAAATGTGGGAAGTGGGGGGGAGACAAAAACCCAGAAAATACGAGAAAATATGGGGAATTATTTTATTTGTGTGTATTTATTTGTGTGTCTTTGGGCCCCTTCAGTTTTTCGGGTCTGAAATCGGGCCTTCGGCGGCCGTACGGGACGATCCGGGCACCCCCAGAATGCCCTCGGCGAGGCGCAGCCGCTGGAAGGCCTCCGGAGGCTGGGGAGCCGACACCGATGAAATCGTCTGAAGCCCTAGAACCTTGATGCGAAACCTCCCTCCAAAGTTCCCCTCCTGAGCCAGTCGGCCTATCGTTGCCCCTCAGATGCTGACTGATCCTGCACCCCCGATCGATGATCTTCAGGACGTGTGTTAGTCCAAGCGTGTGTTTACCCCGATCGGCTCTGGCGATGGCGCGCAGCCTGTGTCGGACCCTGTTGCTAGGCCTGCTTCGTATTGAAGGTTTCGGTGGACAAGCATACGTTGGTGCTGGCACACGTCTGAGGATCATCGACGCAGCCGCTGTCAAGCATCCCGAGGCTGGAGAGCCGACGGTAACCGACAATTTGAGACTTTCCCTCTAAGATACTTCTCCTGAGCCAGTCCCCCCATCGTTGCCCCACAGATGCCACCCGACCCAAATCCAAACCCCAAATTGCCGACAAACGGAAACGTTCGAAAACTGCCAGACTTTGTGGACACGAGGTGCCGAACTGTTCCAAACTGCCGAATACCGAAACCCAAGCCCCGAACTGCCGACCAACGGAAACGTCCGAAACCTGGCCCCCCCCTCAGATGCCGACCGATCCTGCCACCCCCCGCCATGTCGATACGATCGATCCGATTCGATATGGATTCCAGCCAGCCCGATCTGATTCGATTCCGATAATCCGGAGATCCGATGCGGCCCGCCCGATGCTTGCACCGTGATCCTGTGCATATTGGCGCAGCCGATCCGCTTCGATTTCGATTCCGTGCCGATGCAGCCCGATCCGATGTACATGTCGATTCGGTCCGATTTGCCGGTTCGATGCTTGCTGATCCTGACCCGGGAGCGTTGGCCAGCTCCTCCCGCCGAGGCCCCGGCCTTGCCGGCCGCGGCGCGCCGGCCGGCGCAGACGCGGCGGGCAACGGCAGCCTGTCCTTCGCTGCACCGCGCGGCGCTTTGGTGGCGAGCAAAGGGCCAGCACTGGCTAAGCATATCGCGAAGGCCTAAAGGCCGGTGCCGCCGACCCTGAAGGCAATTATAATGATGATGATGATGATGATGATGATGATGATGATGATGATGATGATGATGATGATGATGATGATGATGATGATGATGATGATGATGATGATGATGCTGATGATGCTGATGATGCTGATGATGCTGATGATGCTGATGATGCTGATGCTGATGCTGCTGATGATGATGATGAGGATGATTGTGGTAGTTGTGGTGGACTTTGGTCGGGACATAGCTGTATGTTACCACTCTTTCCCCGTTTTACTCCCCTCTTTTCCCCTCTTGCTCCCTCTTTCCCACTCTTACCCCTCTTACCCTCTTACCCTCTTACCTAGTCACCTCTATCATCCTTGTTGCCCCCGCTTATCCCTCCAACGCTCTCTGTTTGCTGATTCGCTGGCTCCTCTCTTGGTTCTGGTACGATGCATGGCCGTTCGATCCCCTCATACTGATTTATGCAATCGAAGACGCCTACGGCGAATCACAGCCGCTTCCTGCATTCTGGAAGCGCCTATGTGGCCAATCGTAAGGCCGAAGTCTTGCCAAGCTATTGGCTACGTGTTCCTGTAATTGGCCGTTGTGTGAACCCTTTTGGGAACACGTGTCGAAGGATGATGATGATGATGATGATGATGATGATGATGATGATGATGATGATGATGATGAGGATGAGGAGCAGGAGGAGGAGGATGTGGAGGAGGAGGAGGAGAAGGAGGATGAGGAGGAAGAGCAATAGTAGGATGAGGATGAGGATGAGGAGAAGGAGTAGAAGAAGGGCAAGGAGGAGTAGGATGATGATGCTGCTGCTGATGATGATGATGACGATGCTGATGATGATGCTGATGCTGATGCGGATGATGATGCTGATGATGATGCTGATGCCGATGATGATGACGATGATGATGATGATGATGATGATGATGACGATGATGATGATGATGATGATGATGATGATGATGATGATGATAGTGCTGATGATGATGCTGATGATGATGACGATGATGACGATGATGATGATGATGATGATGATTCCGATGATTATGATGATGATGCTGATGATGATGCTGATGATGATGATGATGATGATGATGATGCGGAGGAGGAATCGGCGTAGGAGCCGAGTGGTGGGGCAGACTGCACTGCCTCTAACTCACTCTGGTACCCTGTTCCCACAGCCGTGATCGATCATGTATTTGAAGGAGCAATGAGGGAGCCACTGGAAAAGGAGGATGCGGATGTTGAGGCGGAGGCGGAAGAGGAGGATGATGATGAGGATGAAGAGGATGCGGCGGCGGCGAGGAGGAGGAGGAGATATTGTATGTATGGTATGGTATGGGTTGGGCCGAACGGCGAGGTCAAGCCTCGGTCAGAACTCGAGCTCCGACTCGCGATCGGTCTCACCGTCGTCGTTGCAGAACGGAGCACGGGCAGGACGCCCGGAGGTCCGCACAGCTGGAGATTCCGCTCCCAGGTCCCGTACGAAGGACACGCGCCCTCACGAGTTCTCCTGAGCTGATCTCGGGCTGCTGCCTCCTCCGCCTTACACTCCGTCTCAAGCCCTTGTGGTCACAATACCACACTTGCAGCAAGAAAGGATTAAGGAGACAGGAGGACCACGCCCAAGCACATCGTCCTGGAGCAGCGCGTGGCCTCGCCATCGAAAGGAAACGCGCGCAAGTTCCTCCCACCTCTCGCCCACCCTGCACCCGAGCTGGTGCGACGGACCAATCTCCGTCCAGATAATAGGCGGGCTTGGGCTCTGGTCGGGCTCCTGGGACTCGGGGTCCACACCTTCGGCCTCGGGACCTAGCGACCGCAAATAAGCCTCCATCAACCCTTCACGGGCAAGCTCCTCAGCATTCATGCGAGCCGTGGAAGCCCAGCGGGCCGTCTCGGCCGCCAGCGCCTTGAAACCACAACAGGGCTCGTACTGGTCCCTGCTTACACCGCGCAGGGCCGCTCCCTGCTTCGCCAGGCGGTCCGCGTGGGCGTTTCCCTTAAACTCCCACGCCGTGGTAGCCCCCGCGTGGATCTGAGCCTGGGAGCAGTGGGCCTTCGTCTTGAAAACCTGGAAGTCGTCCCTGGTGAATGCTCCCCAGAAGAGGCTCCAAAGATGGGCCCTCGCGCAACTGCTTGAGGTCCCGTCTCCAGCGTCGAAGCGCAGCGCCCCAACATTGCCGGCGCAGTCCACGAGCACATCGAAGGGGGCAAGGGCGCAAAAGCGCAGCATCGAGATCGCAGTCCTTGGCATCTCGAGCCGTCTGCTTCGGGGAGCAGCTGAGGAGCAGCGGTTCGTATGCAGCTGCCACCAATGTCGCCACATTTATTGGTCTCAACGATCGACCACCCAGCCCTGGCTAAAGAAGGAACGCTGGCCCAGAGGCCAAGCCATCAGCAAAAAGTGTGCCCCAGAGCGGGCCTGTTGTGCCAGTGTATGGACTGCACGGGACTCTCTGGCACAAGGGAGACAAACTCAGGCAACGGGAACAGGCCTCAAGCGAGCCTCTCGTTCATCTCGAAGCCCCATTCCTTCACCCTGGAGGCCTTCACCGGATGGAGCCCGAGGGATGGGGAGGGGAGGGGAGGGGAGGGGAGGTGTGAATCTAAGGTCGTAAGTTAGATTTTGGTCAGAGAGTTCTCGACCCCATAACACAACGAACAGCACGTGCCATATATATATATATGTATATGCATATGCATATGTATATGTATATGTATATGTATATGTATGTATGCATGTATGTATGTATGTATGTATGTATGTCTGTATGTATGTATGTATATATTTATACAGATATGTACGTATATATGGTCGCACCCCCCAAGATCCACCTTTTGGTGGGTTCTGAAATTAACGTTCAAGTTGCCTGTCTGTCCTCCCTCTTCCCCGCCCCTTCCTCGCCGGCGCACCGCTGCGCAGAGGCGATAAAACTACCATTACAACCTTGCAGAGAGAACTCGGACAGAGGTCTGGGAGGAAGGACAACTTGTGTTTTTTTGTCCTTATGTTTTTTTTTTCTGGTCTGGGAGGAAGGAGAACCCGTGATTTCATTTGTTTTTATGTTTGTTCTGGTTGTGGAGGAAGGAAAACATGTGATCGCATAGTCTTTTCTTTTTTTTGGTTTGGCAGGAAGGAAAACCTGTCATTTCATTATTTTTTCCTGGTTTTTCTGCCTTGGGAGCTCAGGAAACATGTGGTTTCATGTTTTTTTTGGTTTTTCTTGTTTGGCGGCCTGGTGGCAATCGGGACAAGAACAACCAGAAAAAAAACAACGCCTGGGCAGGTTCCTGAGCTCCCAGACCAAGAAAACCAGAAACAAATTACGCCTGGCCAGACTTTGTGCGATCCCAGACCAGAAAAACCAGAAGAACTAACGCCTGGCCAGGTTTTCGGAGATCCCAGATCAGAAAAACCAGAAACACCAACGCCTGGCCAGGTTCCCTGAACTCCCAGACCAGAAAAATCAAACAAAACTGAAAAATTGCATGGCAAGGCTCTGTGGGCTCTTATACCCAAGAAAACAAACATACCAATGCTTTGCCAGGTATCGTGAGCCACCAGACTATAGAAAACCAAACAACACGCCTCGCACAGTTTCCTGAGCGCCGAGACACGAGAAACGCCTGGCCAGGTTTCGTGAGCTCCGAGATTTCTCTGTTGCGCAATGCGTTTGTGGTTGCGTGCACGACATCGCCTACTTATAAGCGCCCTGCCGCGCGCCCCAATGCCTGCAGTCTACAAGCAGCCACCGCTACGCGGTGTCATTCCCCCTCAGGCGGCCGAACATCTTGCCAGTCTCCAGCCGCAGGTCCTCGTTGGCGTGCCAGTGCGCCCACTGGGCGGATCGGACCCTGGCGTTCAATGACATCGAGCCCATCGAACTCTGCCTGGTCTTGATGAAGCCGCGCAAGTGCTGCCAGAACCTGTCGATGATCTGGGTCCCGCAGTTGCACTGGAGGACTCGTCCGCCAGGAAGTTTATGTTGAAACTTCTTGGCGTGCGTGGGTTTCACCCACACCTGGCGGCCGTTCTTCTTCACGGGCTTGCCATTTTGCATGAGCCGCTTCCTCTGGTGCACGACGTGGTTGTGGAGCATCCCCTTCGACCTTGACCTTGTGCGTCTTTGCCCCGTCCGTGTGGGGCACAACGCTCCTGTTGCTCAAGTTCTTGTGAGCGAGCGGCGCCCAACCAGGCAAGCGTGTCGCCCCCGGGCCTGGCGCCCTCTGCTTTGTGAGACTTGGTTTGAGGCGCTTCAGAACCAATGTCTTGCGGTTGCCTCTTTCGATGACACCGCCCCACTGGTCCCACTGGGCCTCGAGCATCCCCGTGGCGCGGGATCCCGACGCCCTCTGGGATGCCGAAGGCGGCCGGATAATTTCATGTTGTGTAAAGAACTTTGCTAGGAACCCTGATCGCAGCGACGGCGGCGCTAGTTGATATGCCAGGCGCCGCTTTGGAGGCAGCCGAGGCCCGCGGCAGGCTGGACCTCGTAGAAGTGGCTTGCGTCGCGGACTCCAGGCTCACGAACGCCGTCCTGGACAAGGGTGGAGCGGCAGAGAGGTTCAGCAATTGGAGCGGATATGGTTTCTCCACCCGGACAGGTGCAGAGAAGCTCGTGCGAGTTCTACGTGACAAGCGACCTCGGATAAATTGGTTTTCCCCACCGCGTGGAGCAGAATGTCCCTAGCAGAATCTGAACCCCGTCGCGGCGGAATCGGAGAAGAAGTCGATCAAGACACGACGTGTCCTGAGGAACGTCAAGTGGGCGATCAGTCAGCTGCTGAGCGAAGACCACGACGTCTACCTGGAGCAGTCTGTACGATGCCGTTCGTGGACGGGCAATTTGAAGGACATTAAGGGCAATGTGCATGGCTGCAAGGTTCACGGATGCATGTGCGGCATGAGAGATGAGAAGAGCGTTATCTTACTACGGAAGGAATGGTATATCGCAACCACCGATGAGCAGTTCAACAAGGGGGTCGGTCGCAATTCTCCAGACCTACATTTACACATGCCGCTGGTAGGAGGTGCTCGAGTAGCCCTATCGGCGAATTGTCCGGTGAACATGTGTGGGGCAATGGATCACTTTTTCTTGAAAAAGACATTTTCTGACGAGACGCTTGCTTATTTTTGGTGAAGGCCCATCGCGAACAGGACGCGGGCGCTTTCGCGACAGGGTTCCGCCGCCTGAGTTCCAAGCGACCTCCTGCCGAGGGGCCGCCGCCTCCTCCGCCGAAGAGGCCTGCGCTGGAGCCCGCGGCCTCGGAGACTCCGGCAGCGGGGTCTGCGGGCCCAGTCGCGCATCCTGTTCCAAAGGCTGATGGGGGCGCTGAGGAGACTCCCGAAGGCGAGGCCGAGCGTCCAAGGCCAGAGTCAGGAGCCCAAGATAGGATGCTAGGCAATTTGGGGATGCCGTTGCCGAGAAGCGCCCAGGACTGCACCAAGGCGGAGCTGCGAGACATGGGGGCGATCATTGCCCATATTCACCAGAACTTCGGACATTGCAGTTTGAGTGCGGTAAGCGCAGCCCTGCGAACTTGGAAAGCTGCTCGGAAGCTTATTGGCCTATGCAACCACTGCGAGTGTCCTGCGTGCAAGGCGGCTCAGAAGTACCGGATGAGACCGATTGCCAGCTTAGAACCCTCGCTGCCTCTTCCTGGTGCCGAGTTAGGCCGCGATAATTTTTACTGGGCACATCCTCGACGAGTTTACCAAGTCCGTGGTACGCCGTGTGCTGACTTCGGCAGTCGTTTTACGCAGACGTCCACGCACTGCCAGAAGGGAGTCGAGGAACGTGGCGGCAACACCACGGCGAAAGAGATGAAGGATGTAGTTCTGAAAGAGTGGATTCATCACTATTGCGAGCCAGCGGTCTTCCGGGCCGATCCTGTGGGATGTTTCAGGCAGATTGATCAGCGCGCTTGGGTCTCAGGTAACGGGATGGAATGGAAACCTGAGCCCTGGGTGTTATCGAGCGGTGCGTCGAGATGATCAATGAGATTGCGACCCGCGTTGCCTGGGAGTTGCTGGGCGACGCCGACCCCGCCAAGGTCTTCCGCTGGGCTTGTGTGGCGAATAGCGACCTGATGCGACATCAAGGCTGCAGCCCTATGGTGATGACGGGCCGCGCCCCGGCGGGGCATTGATTGGAGCCCGATGGGAACGCCTCGGCCCTGAGCGCGAGCGTGACTGACAAGCACTTCCAGGCGGTGACGCGCATCGAGGCATCAGCGTGCAAGGCTTGTGTGGACCGCTGCCGGTCGGGGCAGACGAAGCGCGTCCTGCTGGCCGCGACTCGACCCTTCAGGACGTGGGGGCCGGGAGAAAAGGCTCACTATTGGTGAGGGGCCAAGGGTGACGGCCACAAGACTCGACCAGGTATTGTCTGTCGATTTCATGGTCCAGCGACTGTTCTGCTGCAGGCGGGGGAGATGAGGAGTGGAGTTGCGGAGCGCCGCGGCATTGTTTGGCTCGTGGAAGGAGATCGTCTGGTTTGAGCCGCTGCAGCTCACCTTCGCACGACTACGAAAGCAGAGCAGACTCTTGAAAACATGTCGGCGGGGAGCTCTGACCGCTTCAAGGAGATCCTGCAGGAGCTGGCGAAGGTGCCTACGACGATGTCGTCGACCAGCCAGGTCCAGAAGACTGGGATAACATTCCAGACGGAGAAGACGCGGAGGCACCGACGTCGACGGACACGTCTACTGCAGGAGACCAAGTGTTTCGACCATTCGACGCGACAGAGGATTATGAAGCACCTGGCCGACAAGATCTGGATGGAGAAGCTCCAGGTTCTGATCGACCTCCCTCGCCGAGAGACCTTTCTGAGGCCGCTGGCCCTGCGCAAGCCGAAGGGCATCTGGAAGGTCGACGCTCTTGGGGCAGCGAGCCTCCGCCAGAAGGTCTCGACAAGCGCGTAGCTAGTCAAGAACCTCAAGGAGATCCCGAGACAAAGAGACATCGCATCAACTTCGCGGGCTACATGAACCAGCTAGACCCGAAGGCGCCCGCGCTCGTCGTGCCCGAGCTTGGCAGTTTGAGCCCGAGCCGGAGGGCGACGCCCGCTGGATGGCACCCTGGCAGTACGACCAGAAGGCGAAGCGATCAGATCTGGTGGGATTCGTGGGCGAGGAAGAGCAGCACTGGGCTATCATGGTCGTCTTCGCGCTGGACGAGTCAGAGGTGGGCCAGCTGTGCTGGAAGCCCGGGAAGGCCCTCGCGGCCATGGTCAAGCAGAACAAGGCCGAGGTTAAGCTCAATAACTTTTCAGCAGAGGGTCGAGCCAAGCTGCCGACCGCGAAGAGTAACAAGGTGAAGTCCTTCCTCAAGTATCGGGTATGCGAGGCCGCCCGCCGGGCTGGAGTCCACCGAGGTGCCCTGATGCAGGTGAGATGGGTCATCACTCGCAAGGAGACAGGTGACCTGAAGGCCCGCCTGGTCTTTCTTGGCTTCACCGACCCTGGCCTCGGTCAGATGAAGACAGCATCGTCGACGTGCAGCCGCAGAGCTCGCCGAACTTTCCTGGGTGTCTCCGCCTCGATGGGCTTCCATATCTTCAGGGGTGACGTGAAGGCCGTTTCCTTACAGGAGGACTTTGGAGACGAAAATCGTAACGTTCTCGCGGAGCCAGTCAGGGAGCTCAGGGAGGCGATGCGATTGGAGCACCATCAATGTATCCGCCTGAAGAATGCGGTCTACGGCTTGGTGAATGCACCGCGACGCTGGTTGACGAGAGTACGAAAGGACATTCCAAACCTTGGCTGGGTAGAATCTACGACCGAGCCCTGCATGTGGTGCCCTCCGGATTCAGGCGGCCATCTACGACGACTGGCCGTGGCCCGCGTGGATGTCTTCATGATTGCGATCGACCAGCAGTCAGAGTTTGCGGTGGGCGCCCTGCAGAAGCTTCAGCAGGCCCGCGAGTGGGGAAGCTGGGAAAGTCAAGATTTTGTGCAGTGCGGGACTCGAGTCCGTCAAGAGTTTGATGTGCGCCCCAAGTCATGGGGGCGTATGCATCTCAGCATGATCGACTACGCTCGAGAATTCGCCAGGATCGACATACCAGCTTATAGACGACGAGATCCGGAGCAGTCCGTATTCTCCGCTGAGGCGACGCGTCTGCGAGCAGCTGTTGGGCAATCTATGTGGCTGGCAACGCCAGGTGTACCTTTGATCTACGCAGAGCTGTCTCTGCTTCCTACAGCAACACAGCCGCGGTGAACACCCTGCTGCAGGCTAACAAGCTCATCCAGATAACCAACATCGAAGCGAGCAAAGAGCTGACCATGGAGAAGCACGTCAACCCATGTGTGGTTGGCTACTCCGACGCGGTCGGGAATGTTTGTCGAGACGGCTCTTCCCAAGGTTGCTTTTTGATTTTTTGCGGACTACGCCCTGATGCAGAATCGCGAAGCACTTGTCTCACTGCTGGCGTGGGCCTCATCGTTGCTTACCAGAGTCTTGTCGGAGTTCGAGCGCCGCAGAAGTGCAAGCCGACAGCGAAGCTCAAGGAGAGTTAGAGTTCTACAGGCTGTTGCTGAGTGAGATTCTCATCGGACTGGCCCCTGTCAAGCAGTGGGCATCTAGATTCCTGGAGTCTTGGTTCTGGACTGTCGCGGAGTTCTCGATGCCTTGGATCGCTCTGAGAGAAGTGCCCTGGGCGTGAAGGACAAGAAGAGTGCTCTCGAGGCTCTAGCGCTCAAGCGTGGAATGGCAGCTACTGCGACATCATTGAGGTGGTGTCACAGCGGAGCCCAACACAGTGATCGCATGACGAAGAATTCGGAAATGGCCCGCATGAGCTACAATCTATGGCGTCAGCGATGTACGTGGAAACTTGTCCATGATGCCAATTTCATTTCTGAGAAGCAGCGGGAACAACGAGGTTTGGAGACCTTGGACAATGCCAGTTCTTTTGCAGTGGTCTTTGATGATGCTTTGCAGTTGTTTCCAGAGGATTTGGAGATCGAGGAAGATATTGACATTCCCCCAGATTCCCGGTCACCAGAAGTTGTGAGCGTGATGATCCAATACGTTGCACCCCAGTGGTAGCCTCCGCCACCAAGCGTTTTTTTTTTTTGTTCTTCTTTCACCCCTGAGTCTGAGAACTATTTATGTTTGGCCGTGCAGTCGGTTCGGGGCATGTGAATCTAAGGTTGCAAACTAGATTTCGGTCAAATAGTTTTCGACCTCATAACACAACCGACAGCACGTGCCACATGCATGTATATATACAAATACATACACGTATAGGTATAGGCATATGTATATGTATATGTATATGTATATGTATATGTATATGTATATGTATATGTATATGTATATGTATCTGTATATGTATTTGTACATGTATATGTATATGTAAATGTATTTGTATATGTATATGTACATGTATATATGTGTATGAATATGTGTATGTATATATATATATATAGATGTATATGTCTATGCATATGTATATGTATATGTATATGTATCTGTATTTATACGGGTGTATGAAAATTGAATTCCAATCCTATAAGTTTGTGTATCTATATGCACATACACACGTATATATATATATATATATATATATATATATGTTTCTCTGCTTTCCGCAGCCGTTCTGGCTTAGTGCCAGCCGCCTGGCCAATTTTTGGTGTTAGTTCGACTTCGATCCGAAACTCAGGGGACCTCACGCATGATAGTGTATAAACACCTTGACATCATACGTTTCCCAACTGGTATCTTCTGTTGATCAGTGGTTTATCCCGAGCTCTTTTGATCACAACAGCCGCTAGTAATTTCAGTGCCAGTTGGAGTACACAGATTTGGAAGCAACTGCTTCTAGATGGTATCTCCAACTGCAAGGCTGAGATCCGTGGAATACACGGCCCGCTGACAGGAGGGGGGGGAGAGGGAGGGAGGGAGGGAGCGAAGGAGACAGGGAGAGCGGGAGGGAGGCAGGGAGGAGGGAGGGAAGGAGGGAGGGAGGAGGGAGGAGGGAGGAGGGAGGAGGAGGAGGGAGGAGGGAGGGAGGAGGGAGAGGAAGGGAAGAAGGAGGAGGGAGGAGGGAGGACGGAGAGGAGGGAGAGGAAAAAGAGGAAGGGGAAGAGAGGAGGGGGAGGAGAGGGGAGGAGAGGAGGAGAGGAGGAGGAGGAGGGAGGAGGAGGAGGAGGGGAGGAGGAGGAGAGGAGGAGGAGGAGGAGGAGGAGGAGGAGGAGGAGGAAGGAGGAGGAGGAGGAGGAGGAGGAGGAGGAGGCGGAGGAGGGGGATGAGGCGGAGGAGGCGGAGGAGGCGGAGGAGGCGGAGGAGGCGGAGGAGGCGGAGGAGGCGGAGGCGGAGGCGGAGGCGGAAGTGGAGGTGGAGGCGGAGGCGGAGGCGGAGGCGGAGGCGGAGGAGGAGGAGGAGGAGGAGGAGGCGGAGGAGGAGGAAGAGGAGGAGGAGGAGGAGGAGGAGGAGGAGAAGGAGGAGGATGAGGATGAGGTGGATGAAGAGGGGGAAATGGATGCCTCTTGGGGCCTCCTGGCGGCCTCTCTGGGGCTGCTGAGGGCCTCTTGTGCGTCGGCCCCGCAGGGGTGGCGCGCGTGCAGAAATCTGATTGTGTAGGCTCCGTGGTCGGGCGTTTCTGGTCATACTGCTTGGGAAGCGATGTGCCACACCATGTCTGTTCCATATGTTTGGTTTGGACGTGCGCCTCCGAGGAAGGCCCGTACTATTATCAGTATGTCCGTATGCGTTCCAGAAGGGGGCCGTCGTTTTCGGGTTCGGGGGTGCCTTCTACCAGTCCAGCTGATGGGCGAGCCCTGGACCCCCGACGAGCAGATTTCCCTCAGAGCGTTTCGCCAGGGGGTACAAGAGTGGCATACACCAAGGGCTACGGAAACATCCCATACCGGTAATGTAGGCGAAGAGCCCGAGACCGCGCCTGAGAGCGCCTGGTTCGGCAGCCGTTTCGCCGGAGCCTCCTTCACAATTGATTTGTGACGGCCTTACGGCCAGTGCCGCTGACCCAGAAGGACGACGACGACCACGATGACGACCACGACGACAGCGACCACGACCACGACCACGACGACGACGACAACGAAGACGACGACGACGCCGACGACGACGACGACGACACGACGGTGACGACGACGACGACAACCACGACCACGACCACGACCGCGACGACGACCACGACGAGGACACGGCGACGACGACGACGAGGACACGATGGCGACGACGACTACGACGACGACGATGACAACGACGAAGACACGACAACGACGACGACTACCACGACCACGACCGCGACGACTACGACGACGACGATCACGACGACGACGCCGACTACGACACGACGACGACGACGAGGACGACAGCGACCACGACCACGACCACGGCGACGACGACGCCGACGACGACGACGACGGCGACGACGACGACGACACGACGACGACGACCATGACAACTACGACCACGACCACGACCACGACGACGACGACGAGGACACGACGGCGACCACGACCACGACGACGACTACCACGACCACGACCGCGACGACGACGACGACGACGACTACGACGACGACGACGATCACGACGACGACGACGACGACGACGAACGACGATGACTACGACGACGACGACGACGGCCACGACGACTACGACGATGACGACGACAGCGTCTCACACGCGCCGACTCGGTCGGGTGATTTAGGAATCGTGCTCTCGCTCTCAAGGGCCGTATTTTGCCCCAGACGGCCGCGATCTCTGGTAAAATACAGTGCGCACGGCCGTGCTCTCGCTGCGTTGTCCCGGCGGCAGCCGTTCTTTCTCGGGGCTGCCCGGACCGTGCTTCTAGTGCTGCCATGAGAGGGTGTTTTGCTAGTGGGCCTTTCGGTTCGGGCGCTTTTCCTCAGTTTCGGCCTCCGGGGCCCGCCTCAACGTGCCCCGGCCGTGCTTCTCTTGACTTTAGCTACTATTATAGGTGCTTTGCTGGGGGGCCTTTCGGTTCGGGTGGTTTTCCTCGGTTTCGCCCTCCGGGGCCCGTCTCATCGTGCCCCGTGCCCATCGAGCATGGGTCCGGGGCTCCCACAAATCGTCCATCAGACATGGATCAAGCATCAAACATGGATCAACCACGGATCCTGCCAGTCGTGCTGGCCCCGGGCCTTGCCCCTGTTCCCCCCCCGCTCTGCCCTGCCCCTGCCCAGGCAGTGCGTCCCGGGCGCCGCGGCTCTGGCCGCGCGGAGCCAGGCGGCGGCCTCCCCACCGTCGGCGTGGTCGTCGTCGTCGTCGTCGTCTTCGTCGTCGTCGTCGTCGTCGTCGTCGTCGTCGTTGTCGTCGTCGTGGTCGTCGTCGTCTTCGTCGTCGTGCTTCGTCGTGTCGGCCTCCTTCTCCACCTCAGCTCTCGAGCTTTATCCCCAGATTACGGGCGGGAGTTCGACCTTCGGGGGGGCTGCAACTACGGGTCAAGTGGCCCACGTGGGAGGCTCTGCCCTGCGTTTGGAAGCCGGCGGGTCTATTACGGGACGTCGGGGAGTGAAGGCTGACATTTATCTCCGTGCAGTGAGGAGGGGGGAGAGGGAGGAGGAGGAGGAGGAGGAGGAGGTTGAGGAGGTTGAGGAGGAGGAGGAGGAGGAGGAGGAGGAGGAGGAGTAGGAGGGGGAGGAGGATGAGGAGGTGGTGGAGGAGGAGGAGGAAGATGCGATGCCCCGTTGAGGCCGCTTCCTTAGCCGTAGCCGCAATATTGTGCGAGCGGCTGCCGAGCAAAAAGAGGAGTAAACTGGTACTGATCTAACAGCGGTGCAAAGCAGCACGCTGAGGATGAAGCTCGAGAAGCAAGCTGTCCTGCGGTGCGGCACGCTGGTCTTCGCCAGGACTATTGCTGTCGCTTCTTCGGCCCTCCCTTCTTCCACGCCAGGATGTAAGGGCCGAGGGGGGCGACATCCCCCGAGGGGGAGACGTGCTGTTGACTCGGGATCTCGTTGCTGGTGCGGGGGGGGAGGAGGACCAGGAGTAAACACCTCGCCCCGCCTCGCCAGGAGTCGTCTTCGACGGGGGGCCAGTGTTTCGCCTCGGGCTCACCATGGCGGGGGGAGTCGCAGTCCTGCTGTGGGCGGGCTCGTATGGAGCGACTGGCATGGAACCTCGGCCAGCGGATCTGTATGAGAGGACGGCGCTCGAAGGGGGGGAGGACGGGGGAGGGAGGCGGAGGAGGAGGAGGAGGAGGAGGAAGAGGAATCATAATCTGAATAAGACGATTTTCAATAATAATAGCAATGCAAATACTAACAGTTGTGATAATACGTATACGACGACCGACACGAATCCAATATTTGTGATATTATTATGAGTGAACGCAACACTATTTCATACGAATGCTAACAGTAATTCCATGGATCTTAAAACGAATAGTGATTTGATCATTACTACTCACGCTAGTTTTGAGATGAACCATATTGTATGACTTACACGCAAAGTAATCAGTCAAGCGTTACGAATGCGAACTATCGTAGTATTGCTAGTGCCAATGCTAATACTATTATTATTATTATTATTTCTAGGACTACTACAACTACCATTCATTCTGCTATGATTACTACCACTCGTATCCATAATATTACTACAACCACCACTACTACTACTACTACCACTACTACTACTTCCACCACCACTACTACTACTACTACTACTACTACTACTACTACTACTACCACTATTACTATTACTACTACTACCACCACCACCACCACCACCACCACCACTACTACTACTACTACTACTACTACTACAACTACTACTACAACTACTACTACTACTACTTCTTCTACTACTACTACTAGTAATTCTACCACGTGCGATCACTACTACGACTACTACTCTTATTATTGTTTGAATTCCTACTACTATCGCAGTACTAATACTACTACTACTGCTACTGCTACTGCCACTGCTACTGCTACTGCTACTGCTACTGCTACTGCTACTGCTACTGCTACTGCTACTGCTACTGCTACTGCTGCTTCTACTACTACTACTACTACTACTACTACTAGTACCTACTACCATTACTATTGCTACTGCGACTACTACTACTACTACTACTACTACTACTACTACTACTCTTACTACTACGACTACTATTAATACTTCGGCTACTAATACTACGAGTACTACTACTTTTACTACTTTTACTATCACTCCTCCTACTACTACTACTACTACTACTTCTACTACTACCACTACCACGTACTACTACTACAACAACTACTACTACTACTACTGCTACTACTACTACTTTTACTACTCGTACTACTACTTTTACTCCTACCACTACTACTACAACTACGGCGACTACTACTACTACTACTACTACTACTACTACTATTACTACTACTACTACTACTACTACTACTACTACTACTACTACTACTACTACTACTACTACGCTACTCTTAGTATTACTCTTACAATCACTACTACTAGTACAACTACAACAACAACAATTACTACTACTACTACTACTACTACGACTACTACTACAACTATCCCTCCTCCTCCTACTACTACTACTACTACTACTATAACTACTACTAGCACACTACTACTATTGCTATTACTACTACTATTACTACTACTACTACTACTACTACTACTACTACTACTACTACTACTACTACTACTACTACTACTACTACTAACACTACTACTACTACTAACTACTACTACTACTACTACTACTACTACTACTACTACTACTACTACTACTACTACTACTACTACTACTACTACTACTACTACTACTACTACTACTACTACTACTACTACTACTACTACTACTACTACTACTACTACTACTACTACTACTACTACTGGTGCTGCTGCAGCAGCTGCTGCTACTACTACTACTATTACTACTACTAGTACTTCTACTACTGCTACTTCTACTCCTTTTAATACTACTCTACTGCTCTACTAACAACAGTCCTCTTGATCAGACAAAGAGCGCGTTTTGTGGTTGCTTGGAGGGGGTGTGGTTTGGAACTGGACCCTCCCTCCTCCCCCCCCCCCCCAGTGACGGAGGGGGGGGGTTCGAACCCTCCACCCCCCCCTCCCCTACTTCTCCTCCCTCCCTCTTGTCGGGCCGGCGCCGGCGTCGGCGGCGGCTGGCGGCGGCGGCGGGGAGCGTCGCTGAAGACGACGACTTCTTTTTCTGGGCCAGCGCCCGCGCCTGCGGCGGCGGGCGGCGGCGGCGGGTAGCGTCGACGAGGACGACGGCGACGACGACGACGACGACGCTCCGCCACCGTGCCTTGGTTTTGGGTCAGAGTCCTCATGGATGCCTCTTGGGGTCTCGTCGGAGGGCTCTCGGTGGCCTCTGATGGGCATTTGTGAAGCCTTCTGGGCGCCTCTTGGGCGTCTCTTGGGGCCTCTCTGAGGTGGTGGTGGTGGTGGTCTGTGGTGGTGGTGGTGGTGGTGGTGGTGGTGGTGGTGGTTGTGGCGGTGGTGGTGGTGGTGGTGTGGTGGTGTTGGTGGTGGTGGTGGTAGTGGCTGTTGTGGTGGTTGTGGTGGCAGGTTGTGGTGGTGGTGGCGGTGGTGGTGGTGGTGGTGCGGCGGTTTTTGGTGGTGGTGGTGGTGGTAGTTGTGGTGGTGGCGGTGGGTTAAGGTGGGTGGTGGTGCTTGTGGCGTCGGTGATGTAGTGGTTTGTCGTGGTGGTTGTGGTGGTGGGTTGTGGTGGTGGTGGATTGTGGTGGTGGTGGTGGTGGTGGTGGTGGGTGCGGTGGTGGTGGTTGTTGTTGTGGTGGTGGTGGTGGGGTGAGACGGGAGACGGGCTCCCAGTTCGCCCAAACGGGTGGCCGCGCGAGGGGCTGGGAGGTGGCGCTGGGGCGCCGCTCATTCGTTCACTTCTCGATGGTGTGCTGGACCCTCTTCCGCTATTCCCTTTTCTGGCGGATGCTCCTCAGTAGCTCTTTTCCGGTACACCCGTGACGCTGTTCGGCTCGTAGGCGGGCTGCTTCACGTAGCCGTCGCTTCTCATCAGTGTCTCGACGATGCCAGGACGGCGGGTTGTCGTCCATCTCCGGAGCGGCCTGGCTCTCCTCCTTGTCCTCCTCGTCGTTCTCCTGCTCCTCTTCCGTGCGATTGCTCGCAGCCTCCGTGTCCATGCTCTTGTCCTCATTTTTATCCTGCTCGTCCTCCTTCTTCTCCTCCTTGGCGTCGCCGTCGGAGACGTTCGCGGGCAAGTCCGGGAACTCCAGAAGAGGCGGAAGCTCCGCTGGCTGCGGGCTTAAACTCATCATGGAAGCGATCTTCTTGTCCAGCATGGCGAAATCGGGCAGCGAAGCTTTGAACAAGAGCATCTCAATCCGCCCGATTCTCGCATCAGTGTCGGTGGCTAGCGCGCGGACGTCATCTAGCTCTCTATGTTGCTCGTCGTTCGTGCTCTTGTCGACGTCGAGTCTGCCAGAAGTTGCATCCAGCTTGTCCGTCAGGCGGTGGATCGCCATCTCTATTCGTCAACCTGGAGTCGATCCTACCCATGTCGCGCGCCACTGCAGCTTGTCGCCTCTCGTGTCGGATCGGCCAGGCGTTGGGAACCGCCGCCATGGATGCTTACCGGCTGTGCTAGCTGTGCTCCGGGTGCTACGGGGTGCTATGCTGAGCTGGTGGTGGGGTGGTGGTTTGTGGTGGTGGTGGTGGGTTGCGGTTGTGGTGGTGGCGGTGGTGGTTGCGGTGGTTCGCGGTGGTGGTGGTTGTCGTGGTGGTGGTGTGGTGGTTTGGTGGTGGTGGTGGTGGTGGTGGTGTGGTGGTGGTTTGTGGTGGTGGTGGTGGGTTGTGGTGGCGGTGGTGGTGGTGGCGGTGGTGGTGGTGGCGATGGCTTGTGGAGGTTGTGCTGGTGGTGGTGGTGGTGGTGGCAGTGGTGGTGGTGGCGGTGGTGGTGGTGTGGTGGTTGTGGTGGTGGTGGTGGGTCGTGCTGCTGGTAGTAGTGGGGGTGCTTGTGGCGGTGGTGGTAGTGATGTGGTAGATTGTGGTGGTGGTTGTGGTAGTGGTGGAGGGTTGTTGCTGTGGTGGTGTTGGTGAGCTGTTGTGGTGGTGGTGGTGGTGGTAGCGGTGGTTGTGGTGGTTTGGTGGTGGTGGTGGTGGTGGTGGGCTGTGGTGGCGGTGGTTGTGGTGGTGCTGCCGGTAGTGGTGCTTGTGGATTGTGGTGGGTGGTGGGCGGTGGTGGTGGTGGTGGTGGTGGTTGTGGTGGTGGTGGTGTGGTGGTTTGTGGTGGTGGTGTTGGTGGTGGTGGTGGTGGGTTGTTGCGATGGTGGTGGTGGTGGCGGTGGTGGTGATGGTGGTGGTAATGGTGTTGTGGTTTGTGGTGGTGGTGGTGGTTGTGGTGGGTTGTGGTGATGGTGGTGGCGTTTTTGGTGGTGGTGGTGTGTAGTGGTTTGTGGTGATGGTGGTGGTCGTGGTGGTGGCGGTGGTGTTGGTGGCGGTGTGGTGGTTTGTGGTGGTGGTGGTGGTGTGGCCTTTGGCTCTTCGCGCGACTGTGTTCTGGCTTTGAGTAAGTGATTGGATGCCCCTTGAGGTGTCGTCAGAAGGGTCTCGGGGGCGTCTGAGGAGCATGCGAGGGCTCGATATGGCGATTTGTGTGTTCCCTCTGCGGCCTCTGGGCCCTCTCTGGTCATCGTCGCTGCGTCCCCGCCGTCGGCGCTGCTGGCCGCCGCCAGCGCCGGCGCTAACGCGGGCGCGGTGGGGGGGGGGTTTGACCCCCCCACCTCTCCCTGGGCCCTCTCGGGTCATCGTTGCTGCGTCCCCGCCCGCCGTCGGCGCTACTGGCGGCCGCCAGCGCCGGCACTGGCGCCGGCGCCGGCGCTGGGGGGGGTTTTGGACCCCCCCCGTGAGGGGGGGGAGTCCCCCTGGTTCTGATCGACGGCGCCGAGTGTTGGGGGGAGGGGGCCTACCCCCCGGCTCGAAACGCGCCGCCGAATGTTCCCAAGGCAAGCGCCCGTGAAACGCGCTCTCTCTGATAAGGAAACATAGCATTTCATCACGAGCAATTGCGAACAACGAATGCGTATACGAAGACGATTGCGAACAAACGTGCACGAATCGTAAGAATAATGGCCGTGCTCATGATACGAATAAAGGCAGTAACATTGATAACAGTTATATTGTGAGGAATAATACGAGTAATCATGCTAATAATAACAATGGTGGGACTTATCATAGTATTACGATGAACAACCACAACAAGAACTTGGTTAATAATACCAGTAGGCATAGGACCGTTAACAATATCAGTAAATCACGCCGTGCTACGAATATGAGCGCGATTGTTTATCAGACGATGAGTAGCACGAGTAACACAAACACTAGGACTAGTAACATGAATACGATTACATGTGATAAGCACTAGAATATCAGAAGTCCGAGGACTCATAACGATAGTCAGAATTATGATATAGCGTAGAAATAATGATGATAGTACCGATCATATACATACGCAACTGATAATAATCGCCGTGCGAATGATAATCTCAGCAGTACGAATATAATCATTCTACTTCGTATAATAGGATTAATAGAATTAATGCGAAGAAGGGTAATCTTACTCACGCGAAGATCGAATCTCATCAAGACGAGCCATCTTACGATACTTAACATTACGATCACTACTAAACATAAGAGTAATCCGAATCTGGTCGATCATATTTATTCCAATCGTAGTGATACTACATGGAAAAGGATGCTGTAGCACATAATACCAGCGATAATGTGGACGCGGAAAAAAGTATAATAACGGTACTAGCAGTAAGAAGGGGAGGCGGCGGAGGCTGCCGAGGTAGACTTCGAGGCGCAGGACGCCAGCCGCCCCTGTTTTTGCGCCAGCGTGGCAGTCCAGTGCTCTGGGCACAGAGGCGCAGTTGCGCTGGCTCACCGCGAGACGCGAAGGCGCGGTCAGCGCAGCAGCCGAGGCTGACACGCACCGGCGGTGCCCAGAAAGCGGGTTGCTCATACCCCCTCGCGTCGTGAAGAAGTCGCGACGGGAGGTTTTCGACAGTTGTCGGCCTCTGGGGACCCTCACCGGGCCCTGGCACCGTAGAGAGAATGGCTCGGGATGGAAAGCTGGTCCTGGGATGGGGTCCAGTCCTCTGGGGGCACGCGTTGTGAGCAACGTCGCGGCGTCGGGGATCTGCGCCCCCTGGCCGCCAGTGCTGCAGGCCCTGGAGACAGGAAGGGCGACCCAGCCGCGCTGTTCCTACGCCGCCTGCGCCAGCTTGCGCGCGACCTCACCGAACAGGTGTCCAAGCCTCCCAGATGAGGTCTGAGTAGTCGGTGCCGCAGGATCGTGCCGTATCGCCGATGCATCGCCGATGCGGCTCGATGCATCGCTGACGTCGCCGATGCATCGGCGATGCATCGACGCTGCATCGGCGATGCGGCGCGATCCTCGGACCCCGTGTATTCGGACCCCACCCAGGAGGCCTCCACGGTGTGCGAGGAGAGGGCCTCGGCGGTGGCCACTGCCCTTTCGCGCCACCCTTGGCTCGGGGGTGCTCCGTCGGGCCGCCGCCTGGCAGCCTCGAAGCGCAGCTCGGGCCCTGCCGCGGCGGCGCGGCGGCCCTGCGGGAGGTCGTGGCGGGTTCGGCCTGCCACTCGAGGCGGCCCTTCCCAGCGGCTCGAGCTC